ATTATATTATAGGTTATATTATATTGAGCTACTATATCTACTTATATAATTTAATTTGATTTTGAAATATTTGAAATGCCTATATATATACTGGGTTATCCATTTATCATAAAACACACATAATTTAAAAAACGATTAATGTTTTTGTAAATGTTAATTTAAAATAATTCAAAGTGTTACAAGAGAACATGTTTTTGTTAAAACTATTATTATTATTATCTCATGTTATCTCATGCGTTAAATGGATCATCCTGTACATAGGTATGTGACTTTAATTGGTGTGACTTTTAAAATATATTTATATTTGATATAAAAATGTATTAAAATATATGGTTAAATATTATATAGGTAAATGTAATATTTAAAAATAAGATAATTTTCAATTAAATTAATATAAATTAATCTACTTATAAGTTACCGTCTATACATGAATGTTAATAATATTATTTACTATTTTATTTATAAACCTTTATTTGAATTACATTGATATTTGAAAAGTGTATTATAATGATATCATTCATTTTTATGTGGCTCATACAATAATAATATTACTTATATCAATGTTTTTATCATTTGGTTAGGTTAGAATGTCTTACAAAAAAAAGTATTGCCTAAGTGATCGGTCAAAAAGAAGAAGGGTACAAGAGGAAGTAGAATTTCCTATAGAATTAGCCAACGTCAAAAAAAATTCAACATCCCATTTAGTTATTGAACCTAGTTTACCGAAATCAAAAAATATACTTGTCGCTGGTACTGGCGCATTAACTTCCTTAAGAGCCATTGATTCTGTCTTAACATAATATACTGATTTCACAAATGATAAAGAATTTTATGAAGAATTGAGACACTCTTCATCGTCAACTTCATCTTCCGATGAACAAATTGAAGATAATGAAGATATAACTTATTTTAATAATGATGTTGAATAGTTATCATTATTTAGTACTTTAATTGCTCAGTGGGGCAGTTTCATTAATATTTCTCCAAAATGCACTTAATGCATTATTAAAACTATTAAAACAGCATAAATGTTTTGAAGCATTACCTATTGATTCACGATCCATTTTAAATACAAAAAAAATAACCACTTCAAATTGTTTTGCCGTGGAGCCTGGAAAATATTATCATTTCGGTATTCTGAATGGAATTAAACAAAATATCCCTGATTGTATTAATGAAAATGAAATAATTCAAATTGTTGTTGGAATCGATGGTTTGCCAATTTTTAAAAGTAGCCCTGAACAATTTTGGCCTGTCCTTGCATATATCCGACCAAATAACAATGAAGTATTTCCAGTTGGGATTTATTGTTTGAAAGTAAAAACCATTGATAGTAATGAATTCCTAAAAGAATTTGTTGATGAAGGAAAAGAATTAATTGACAGTGGTGTTTATGTAAATAATAAAACATATAAAGTTTCGATAGATGTTCTTTGTTGTGATGCGCCTGCAAAATTGTTTATTTTAAAAACTAAGGGACATTCAGGTTTTTTTTCTTGCTCCAGATGTGAGCAGGAAGGCCAATATTTGTCAAACAGAACTTGTTTTCCATATAACTGATAACTGTCCACCCAAGCGAACACATAATAATTATGTTTTGAAAACACAAGAGGAGTATCATATTGGAAATATCTCTATTTTAGCAACTTTGCCCAATTTTGATATAACGACTGGGTTCTGTCTAGATTATATGCATTTGGTTTGTCTAGGAACTGTTCGTAAACTAATATTATTATGGATGAAAGGACCCAATGAAGTTCGCTATCCATCATGGAAAATCAAAGAAATCTCCAGTTATATTCAAACTATTAAAAACAAAATGCCTTGTGAGTTTGCAAGAAAACCTATTAACTTAGATGAAGTAAATAGATGGAAAGCAACGGAATTTCGTATGTTTTTACTATATTATGGCATAATAGTTACTAAACCATCATTGAAAGATCAACACTGGAATAATTTTTTTTAATTTAAGTATATATATGATTATTTTATTAAGTCCTGATCATTTTAAATACATAAATGTTGACGTCAATTATTAGACAGTTTTGTTAAAGATTTCGAGATTATTTATGGCCGTTACCTCATTTCTCATAACATTCATGGTTTAACTCACTTATGTGATGATTATGACAAATTTGGGCCACAATTGTTCAGCCTTCCCTTTTGAAAACTACATGGGGTGCTTAAATAGAATGTTAAGGAAACCACATAAACCTTTGAAGCAAGTTGTCAAAAGATATAGTGAAATTTGTTCACTTAAGTCTAACACTAAAACTAAAAATGATGCACCTTATTTTTCTGGACTCCATACACATGGTCCTACATTGTCAAGTTCAATAAAAGGAAAACAGTTTACCACTTTGGTATTAAAAAGCATGACAATTAAAACACATCTGGAAAAAGATTCATACTTTTTAACTCAAGAAAAAAAAGTAGTAAAAATTGTCAACATAATTAAGAAAGAAAATTCAGAAGACGTAATACTTATTTGTAAAATATTTGACAAAAAAAATGAGTTATTTATCAAACCTATAAAATCTAGTAAATTAGATATTTATGTTGTTAAAAATTTAAGTTATAATTTTCATGAGTTTAATATTAAAGATATTAAAAAAATAATGATTCTGTTACCATCTAATAATAATGATTTGATTGTAATACCTATTATTCATTCAACTATTAATATTTAGGAACCTTATAAAAATGTTTTATGCTCATCCTTATATTGTATTAAATTATATTCTATATAAGTGCTAATTATGTCAATTATTATGAATAATATATTTAAAATCAAGCCCATTTATCATAATTATATCAATGTATGTAGGTATCTACATAATTAATTAATACCTATATTTACATTATATAATATGTTTATTAACATTTGTTCTCTGGTTATAATAAAGAATAAGAAGTCTAAATAGTAAATACTTAGTTTATAATTTTCATCTTAAATACACAACTTTTTTTTTTTGAAAGTGCTTATAATATATAATTACTAGTTATTGTATTAAATTATAGGTTTTGTATTCAGTTTCAATCATATTTGTAAATACATTTGGTATTTTAAATGTGGTCTGTGGTTCTTTGATGATAATTCCGTTGAAGTGGTACCGGCCTATTGGCTAAACAAAAATACATGCCCTAGGCCGAAAAAAAATTCAAAAAAATTCATTCAGAAAAGGACCAAACCAAATGAAATTGAGTTCGATTTTTTAAAGGCTCGTAAAATGGGAAAAGATAGAGGTATGTACAGTATATTATATAACTTAATATATAGCTGAACATTATTGAAATGATTCATTGTATGATTATTGTATGTTATTCACATATAACATATTTATTTTTATTTTTATTTAGATAGTTATACTTTAGCAAGGGAAAAAGCTAAAAAGGCAGAGTATACATCCGACTTATCAACAACACCAACCAAGCAAAAATACAATAATATGAAACCTACATTAAAAACTAAAAAAAAAGATAAATGTCAACAAAAAGAAAATAGTGTTTTATGGAATCCATCTTCAAGTGAAAGTATTAGTTGATAAATTTATATTATTGCTAAATTTAAGAAATTTCATTTTTCTCCAATTTTTATTATAAAAGTATAAAAACATATTTTTTGTTGATGACAATTATAATACCAACCGAGAATCAAATTTAAGTCCTATGGCAGAAAGTATTCTAGTATTATCTGGTAAGTTGTAATTGACAAAGTAAGCGATATGTGTATTTAGTAACTAAAATATAATTAATCACTGACTATAATAATTAGAACATTGAATTATAAACACTAATAATAAAAAATGACAGTTCATTTTTATGTTATTTCTATTTTAAATAAAAAATGAAAACTAACTGCATACTAAAATAATAAATATTAAATGGTATTACCTAATGTATGATGTATATTAAATATTTAAAAAAAAATTGTATTTGATAAGTATATGAACTTAATTGTAAGGGGATACACCTAATTTATAATAGTATTTTAAAAAATGTATAGTTTTAAACATTCTTTTTAATATAGGTACGCCAAGTTCTCCAGCTATACAGCTAATCCCGACAATACCTTCAAAAATATCTAATAGTTCTCAAAGCACTGTTATTTCCGTAAAAAAAAATTAAATTTCTATAAAACAAGTCATCTCCAAGTCCAATTTCTACACCTGATAAGATAACAAAAATCACTGGTAATTCATACTTTAAGAATTGTCTTAATAAATTGATTTATAATCTATTGTATACATGTTTTGTTTGATTTATCTTATGTTATCTACTCACTTTGTTAATTTTAGTCTTAATTGTACGTCTATTATATTTATATACAAAAGTTGCTTGACACGAACAAAAAAATTGGACTAATATTTGAATAAAATATCTCAAGTGCAATAATTAATTCCATAAAATGCACATATTTTTAATTTAATTTAAATTGTTGCTAGATGAGATTCTAGAGGGGATTACACATGTTATTGATGAATCTTTCATTGGTGTAGTCAACACATCATCATCACCATTTAAGGTTTCTGATGCATTTTATGTAGATACACAACAGTCAGCATCCTTTTCCAATGAACCACAAATATCAGCACCCAATGGAATACTTGGTGAGTAATATATAAATTAAATTACAATATAATGTTAATTTTATAAATGTATAAATGTATAATTTATTTTTAATCCCTATATAGAATTTCTTCAAAAAATGAATCTAACCGTCTGTAATATAAAATATGATATTAATTCATTAAATGAGAAGGTTGATAAAATGTATGATATTATATTATTGGAACCAAGTCGCTTTGATCATTCATCTAGAGAAAAAAATACTGAAGATATATTCCAAATGGAACTATCAAATCTTCCATTGGAAACAGAAGATGAGCTGGAGGAATTTGAAAAAAAACTTACAGCCAATAAAGAATTTAGAATGAAACTGGTAAAAATAAAATTCTGAATATGCTATACGCTTATATTAATAGTTATATAAATTATTAATTGTGTACAGATTGCAGAGCTCAAACGTTTTTCACGTAGCACATTGCCCAGTACTGTGCGTGTTATATTGAGAAAAATGTTTACAGATGCATTGCTTGAAAAGTTTAGCTACAAGTGTTTGAAAAAAAATAAAGTATTCTATACCTTGGCTACATATACAGTAATTTTTGGTGAGAATTTGTTTAGTTAAATATAATATTTCTAATTATTCCTTAAGCTTGATTAAACTTTTATAAATATATAATAAAAATGTATAATACAATTATTAGCTATAATTACTGATTAAACATTTTTTAGCAATAATAAATAATTAAAGTACTATTGTAGGGTACTATCAGGATGACTGTTATTAACATGTATAAAAAAAATTCTTGAAGTGAAAGAAAAAGCAAAATATATTATAGCAGTGGTGGTTCTTAAAATCAGATGGGGTTGAACAAAAATGTAATATGGATAAGTTTACTTTATTAAATTTGTTTAAAAGTTTAAAACCCAATAAAAAGTCAATGTATAATACAATTAAAAATATAACTTAATGTTTTATGTCTCCCTATCAAAATATGTTAGGTACCTTATGACTTACTCAGTATAAATCCACTGTGCCACTATCAGGCCAAATAATTGAGTAATAATCCAAAAATGTTTCTATACCAGTATTATATAGTATTGCCATGTGTATTACTTTTGTTATTTTTTTACTTTGTGATAACATGTTAATTATATAATAAATACAACTTGCTTTGTAGCAAATAAATATATAATGAAAGAAAACAATATAATTATATGCTATATATTAATTAATATATTTAAAAATTTCATGATTTTCAGATGCAATAAAACAAATGAAAAAATTCAAATTTAGCGATGCTGTGGATATTGAGACACCCATAAGAACATTTATTTCTGGAGCTGAATTCCGGGAACCAAAGAAAAATCCACCTATTTCTAATGAACTATCATCTTAATATAATTTTTGTTTAAATACTATATTTTATGGTCAAGACCTGCAGTATAAATATTTATATCTGTTTAAATTGTTATATTAATACAATTATTAATTAAAAATAATAATATATACTGTTATTAACATGGAAATGAAAAAAATGGATTTACAATATTCTTTTCGTTTTTAAGTTTTCATTATTTCCTTCCTATATCAAGTATATCATAACATATAATTGTTGGAATTCATTTAAATACAATATAATAATTAATTGATTAAATAAATAAATAATGTACAGGGGTGCAATTTCAATGAAAAAAAAAAATTAGAGGTGCTAAAGTCATTTATTATTTCAGTTACCCATACCTAGTCTTATTATCATAGAATACATAATGAGTAACTCTCCCACCCCACCATTTGACATTAAATAATCACATATTTAATGTTTTTTATTATATTTACATCATATAAAACGTATTATTAACCATAAAAAATATGGCAAATTGATATTTGATAATGGTTTGATATATATTATCAATAGTATGTTAGGGGAACAATATTTTTAAAATAATACAATTGTATGGTTTTATTATAATTTTCAAAATAACAATATATTGATGTTTATTTAATTTCAAACCGGTGGCCAAACAACAATATATAATCATTAATATCATATTATTTAATCAAAATATGATGAAATCCAAATGATTAAATAATGTCATTATTAAAAAAGTAATAACATATAAACAATCAAAAAATGTTATATTGCTATATGGGTAGGTAAAACTATAAATACGTTATTAAATTTGTTTCTAATATAATATTGTAATACTAATACACTACTGTTTTGTAAAGAGTAATACATAATATGTTGTGGTTTTTAGGTGGAACTCATTCTACGATGCAATGAATGTTATAACTGATAATCATGATAATCTTAATGAAATTTGTGTCAAACTACAGTTGCCTATTTTTTCACTTACTCAAGAAGTTGGTTTTTTAATTGAATACTGCAAGGTAATACTCATATTATGTAATACTCAATTTTATATTTAAATATTTTTAAGTGTTCAAACATAAAAAGTTGTTAAAATTAAAATCGATACTTCCAGGTTATGAAACCAGTTGCCCGAGTTTTAGGTATATTCCAAGGAGAAAAAAAATTTGCATTGGTTATTTATTACCTACCATTAGCACAATAAATAATTCCTATAATGAGATGAAAAATCTTAAGTTTTGTCAACCTCTTGTTCTCAGCTTAAAGAAAGGATTAGCTAAAAGGTAAAACTATTCTTACAAATAAATTATTTTTACTTTATTTTTTACTATCAATTATCATACATGTTATGTTTTACCTTTAAGATTTCAAAGATACATGACTTGCGAAAACTGTCAAATATCAGCTGTCTTAATTCCAAAATTTATACTGAATTGGGCCAAACCTCATGACAAAGTTATTATAAGACAGGGACTGATTGATTATTTGATCTCAGATAATGAGAAGGATGATAATACTGATAATAGTTTGTCACTACCCATGTCAATATTCAGATTACTGGAACTTGGAAGTGATTCGGAAGATGATTTTTTACAGTTTGGGGACACTGTAGAAACAGATTATTTTCCTAACAATAACGTACAAATGTTGGTGGATACCTATCTATCAAACACACTGATAAAAACACCTAATGATTTACCTTTACCATTGAAAAAAGCATACATAAGGTTCAATACAGCGATACCCTCATCAGCTCCTGTAGAAAGGCTGTTTAGTGCAGGAGGGCAATTGATGGAAAAAAGGAAAGGAAAAATGGCTGATAAAAATTTTGAAATGACTTTGTTACAGAAATATAATAAATATTTCAATATCATGTGATAAACCATGCAAAAAAATGTATAATTATTAAAGTTTTTAAAGTTTTTGTTTTATAAATTTAAATATAAAGGAATTATGTTGTAAATTATATATTATGCGAGTTGCAATAATGTTTTTAATAAAATTAATAATTTTAAATTACAAATTGACAATTGTTATGTTTTAATGTTATATAACTTATATAGTTATATATATGAAGGTCATGTACTCGGCTTCACGTATTATGACATTCAATTTTGCTATACGATATAAAACAATTTATTTGTTAAATGTTAAATTATTAATTTGAGATGAGTAAAGTTTAATTTAATAAATACTAAAAAATTAAAAGGGTATACAGTGTACATTATGATAAATGTTAATGTATAAATTAGAAACTAGAAAGACACATTCACTCTTTATGTGATTTACTTAATAATTAAAAAAAATAGATTAACTTTTTTTAAACTGAGTTAAGATAATTTTTTTTTCTATATTAACTTCTAACTTATCGAGTTAAATTTATAATTTGTTAACTGTTAACTTTTAACTTATCGATCTTATGTCCTCTTAACTTAACTTAACTTGAGTTAATTATTTTCATTAAATTGCCCACCTTTGGTTTTCAATAATTAGTTATTATAAATGATTATTAGGTAGGTACCTATATTAAATGTATAAGTTCATCACATAATAAAGAAATTTATAGTTGTTCTTTTACATTTAAACATAAAATATAATAGGTAGGTATATCATCATAAATAACTGATAATAATTAATTACTCACAGTAAAAATCATCTGTAACGTTTTCCTCATTCTTTGATATTCTTAAAAATGACGTTCTTTTTCTCCTCCTTTTTCCATTTTTATTGTTAATGCACAATGTTGTCTTGCGATTTGGTGACAATTTGCCTTTAAATGGTAAAATAAAAACAAAACCAATAAAATATATACATACATCTAATGAGAGGGTTTACTGAATAATACATTTTACGATGTTTGTCTTAAACACACAACATAATAACATATAGTACTGCAATACTATTATATACTTACTATTACTTGGACTCATGGTCTATGTTAAAATTTCAAATGACCAGCGCTTGAATATAAAGTTTCTGAAATGAAAACAAAACGTATGGTTTAGTTTCACATGGTTATTTCATTGCGATCACAACCGATTAGTACCTATTACACTAAAAAAGACGATTCAGGTGAAAAACATGCGTTTAAGCATGTTCAGACATGTTCAGCTGAATCAAGGATAAACGTAAGGAAACGTTTAAGTTGTTTAACCGATTACTGCGTTATAATAATTATTAATGAACAAGCAGGTCGCAACTAGTAACGAGCTGGTGCATGTTAATGATAAAATATGAAAAACGTTTTTATAAGCAATAATATTATAGTAACTATTATAAATTAGAATAATATTCGTCGCGAATAATGCTGAAATTAAAAACTACACAGAGTATAACAGATGAAAAGCCGACATTCGCTATAAACAGTAGTTACTCACTTTAAAACCGCTACCACAATGGCGACGACTGTATACAACAGACCACGAGGACTAGCATGTCATATTGTCATCCGGTGCGCGCGCATCACGACGCATGCCAACACCGCCAAAGGTCAAACAGAGTGGCAAACCTTAAAAACAATAATTTACAGTGATGCCATGCCATCGCTACGCTCCTCGGCGCTGTCGCTCCCCTCCGCAAATCGAAAATATCCCTCGACTTGTTGTGCAATACCCAAGGCCGTAACTGGGAAAAAATTTCGGTGAGGGGGTCTAACATTTTTTTAAATATATATACTGAACACTTCATTTTTACGTTAAAAATATAAAATTTTATTATTATCATTATTAAAAACATAAGTCATTATTATAATATTCAATTTACATAAACATAGGTAATAGTTGGTTGTTTATATACATATAGACTTATTCAAATTACTTAAAAGCACAAATTAAAAAAAGATAAATTAAAAAATTCAATTTTTTAAATATTCAATTTACAAAATAATTATTAATTTATAGTCTATAAGCATGCAATATGTTGACTGTTTTATTTTACTAAAATAGCTCTATCTTTTTGAAGAGCAAATTTATTCAGGACGTCTTCGGGATCCACTTTTGATATTTCTATGAACACTTAATAATGCTAGGCCATTTAAACGGTTTTGTCCAATAGCGTTTCACAAAAATGTTTTCATCCATTTCAGCGTTGAGAACGTTCTCTCGGGTGTTGCAGTTGAAACTGGTAATGAAGCTAAACATTTTAATAAAAAGTATATACACGGAAATAAAACAGAATTACAATTGTTTAATGTTTCAACGGCTGTACTAGGACGATCGATCGGAGAATGTGAGATCCATTTTCTATTCCGTAGTTTAATTTCTGTTTGTAATAAATCCATATCTATATAGTCAGAATATAAATTAAAATCTGTAGCTGATATTGCAGCTTTATGACACATTTTTGGTATTAATAAATATAAAGAAGACAAAACTGTTTTGTGTTTTGAAAATCTATCTTTTAGTTGTTGAATAAAATCGTCATAAAAAGGAATAGCAATAGCTATACGAAAATATTCTTAACATTAAAGTTGTTGTAAACGGGTAACATGATATGTATGAATGTGTTGACTCAGTCAAGTGGCGAGTGGTGCGTGTATGAGAACCTTCTGGTTCCCACGGACGCCTACGTGACTCCTACGTGACACTGAGCGAGCACATTGCTTGGGACAGGCGATGGGCACAGCCCCGCCAGCTAGAGGCAGTCGAGTCTGGTCAAAAGTGTTACTAAGCAGAGCATCCATTTTAGTTTATTACAGAGCCTCATATAGTTTTTATCAGAACCTCTCATAATAACAGTGTTTTTTATTATATACAAGGTGATTTTTTTATCATTGAACACTCATTATTTCAAAAAGTATTAATGTTTAAGAAAATATTTTTTTACATAGTTTCAAGTTGTTAAAAAACAATATTTTTATTAAAAAAATATATTTTTAAATATTTTTTATCCTTTTAATTTTTTAAGTTTTTTACTTTTTTGAATGACAACGTGTAATTTTAATTTGATATTCAAAAACAGAATATTTTTCTGATTATTTTAATACATAAAAATTGAATTTAGGGCAAGTAGTTTATGAGTTATAAGTATTTAAAGTTTAGATGAGCGGAGTAGAGGACAAACATTTCGCGGGGTAACCCCGTACCACTCTACTCCGCTTATCTAAATATAATATAATATTAGGATATAATATTCATATTATCATACGCGCCGCCGCCGTACGTAGTAGCTGTGAAACAGAGCTCCGTACGCACAGACAAAGAGAGTTCGGTCGCCTTCGTCGTCGTCGTCACCGCCGCCGCCGGGACAACCTGTTACTACTTCACAATACGAGACAGCGCTCTGAGCACATTTACGGGGAGATTTCGGTCGCCTTCGTCGTCGTTGCCGCCACCGTGTTACGCAGTGTGTATACGCAGACTGCAATATTGCCCATTAATTTTATTAACTTAGATTCACATTTGCACAATATTGCAGAAGCGTTTTGTGAACCAAAAAACAATATTTTAATTTGGTTTAAATGATAACACTGAATGAATATTACACTAACAATATTGTAATTTGGTTTAAAAGATAACACTGAACGAATATTACAATAAAAATATTAGTTAACATTATTTTAGTTGGATCAAATTAATATTGCCTCAATCTTTTACTTTCAATTTACCATATTGTATATAATTAATTTATTAATATATTATATTATATAATGCAATCTATTGTATTCATGTATGAGAGTACATATATATTTGTAGATGTGTGTGTGTGTCTGTATATTTGGGGCTCTTGGGTTCTGCCGTTGCTTGCTTTACTGACCAAACTCTCCAATCAGCTGGTTCGTGCAAGCTATATATATATTATATTATAAGAGTTTAAACTCCTGTATACAAAAAATCACAATGAAAAATAATACAAATGTGAATATTATTATTAACAATTTAAATAAAATTTAATAAATAACACATACGTATGGATACTGTAATGCATCATTAAATACAATATAGTTGAATGAATCCTCATCAAATTTGCACTCAATCCTGTATTCCCCAAAACTTTCATTTGTTTATGGTTTGGTTACCATTGAAATTAAACAAATTTTTTTTTTTAGTATAGAGATATAATTGATTACAAAATAAAAATAGTCATGAATTAAATTATGATAAAAATTGAATAAATAAAGAACAATATATTCAGAATAGTCATGACTTCTTTATTTATTGGATGTCCAATACATTACAAATATATATATATATATAATGACAATAATATAATTACAGTAATATATATATATATAATAAGTTAGGAAATATAATAAATTTAAATACATAATTATGTAGTATTAATATTAGTATTATTGCTATAGCCTTTTGCATTATTTCGTTTGAGCCTAAAAGGCGCTCGGGCCAAGTAACACTTCAATTTTACTTCTATTTGTTGTTGGCCGATGTCAGAAAACTTTTTAATGCTCCGGATAGACTCTATAAATAAACCATATAATATTCAATAAACCAATTTATCTTTAAAATACATACAATTTATAATAATTACAGCTATAGAAAATTTAAACTTTTTAAAAGTATACCCTAATATAATACTAATATATCTTTATACTAGCATTAATAATAGTTAAAGCCAATATAAAGATATTAATATTATATTAGGGTATACTTCTTGAAAGTTTAAAATTTCTATTCATTAAGAGGACGTGTCACCCAAAAAAATCACTCGAAAAATTCCTTTAAAAACATGTTTGCGCGTTCCAATAACATGGGTTACTGAGTGGTCTTATCATAAAAACACTTATGAACAAAATTGTAGAGGAGAATTTTATCTGGTTCCGTAAGAAGCCCGATGTTTGAAATTTTCATTTCTAAGTCCTAAAATTAACTTCCGGAAAATGAAAAAAAAGTGTATTATTAATCATTATATATTTCATGATG